GAAAATTCGATAGAATTTATTTCTGTATCGATTTATTAGCAAATTTATATTTTAAGATAGTTGTTAAGGTGTTTTTCAGGAAGATACAACCATTTCGATATACCTGGTTGTATGTTCATGAAAAACACCTTAAAAACGATCTTAAAATAATAAATAAAATACTTTGATTGAATATAAAAATATTTTTTTGCACTGTATAAATTCACTTTTTACCATATCCTACATGTATTTGTTAAATGTAAACAACGTTTATAACCCTGAAGATGATCTCAATAAAGATCGAAACGTTGGCACGATAAAGAAAATGTTTTTCTGAAACCTACGCCACACCAGACCGCATCTCACAAGTTCCGAATAATCATCGACTAACGGTCACTAATCACCACATACTTAAAATAAGCGAACAGCCATGAAGGAAGAAGAGAAGAATAGATATTTAAACGATTATCTTTTAAACAGTGACATTTCTTCTTGAAGCCGTGGCGATGAAACTGTAGCTTGGTCGTTTACAATCATTCTGGTCCGCCTATTCTCGCTGTTTCGGTCGGTCAGTGTATTGGCTTATCAATGGCTTTCAACGGGTCTTTTTGGTCGACACGCCGGGTAAAACAACGCACAAACCAACCGGCCAATATGGTTAAGTATTCGCGTTTCAAAAATTGCAGAAAAATAACAGTTACAAACTAATACTAATTATATTGGATATTGTGTCAAGGTTATAAGTAGGGTGATGCACCAATGCAAACACACCACTGAATGGCGACATGCCGAAACGCGTGGCCAAAACAGCGAGGATAGGCGGACGAAATAATCTACAACGACCAAGCTATAATAAATATCTTCGTATTGTTTATTTGACACATTTGTTCAAAGATCTGAAAAATTGTAAAAATTAAATTGCCTTTCTATTGCTTGGGTATTGCTTAAGTTGGGAAGACTTCTAAATAATCACGTGTCATATCACGGGAATAATGAACAGCAAGACAATAAGACGAAATAACGCAATGCAATTTTAAGCATCGATAATAATCTTTCAAGATTTTTCATACCAAAACAAGGTGAAGCCAATTAAAATGTGATAACAATTATTCGTGTATTTTAAACTCAAGTTAATTAAAGGCACGCAACTAATGGAGGAATTAGGTTCTTCAATGAGTGAAGCGATTGCAGGCAGGATGTCGTCCTGTTTCGAAACATAATTGGGCAAAAAAACTTTCAAACACTCTTACCTAGTTAAAATTAATACCATTTGCTTAATGAGTGTTTATAATCGAACAACAGTTTCACCGCGATATAATTTAATTGAAGGCAAAGACCATGTAACCGATCATTACTGTTGTTTTAGTAAACAGCATGTTGAAATCATGGTTTTTATTTATTTACTGACACGCCCATCGTGTAAAATTTTAAACTCGACATTAGCATATTTGTGGTGTTTTGTGACCGTTAGTCAATGATTATTCGGTGATTGTGAGATGCGATCTGGTGAGACGTAGGTTTTAGAAAAACATTTTCTTTATCGTGCCAACGTTTCGATCTTCATTGAGATCATCTTCTGCGCACAAAGTGTTTGCTTTCTGTGTAACTGTGTCATTACTGTGTGTCGTGTTGAGGGTGCCAGTGAGATATGACGATCAATATCAGAGCGCTGAAGATGATCTCAATAAAGATTGAAACGTTGGCACGATAAGAAAAATGTTTTTCTAAAACCTACTTCATACCAGACCGCATCTCACGATCTACGAATAATCATTAGCACATTTGTTTTCTTGTAGTTGTTAAATTAAATATTTAACCTAGTGATAAATGCCGAAGTTAAAACAATTTTATTATTCAAAGTGTACAAAATAAACACACAGACAAAGGAAAATGTTAAACAGTTATTTTAGTTTTAATTTAATAATATCGAAAGGATTATTTCGCAACGTTTAGATTGCAAATTCCAAAGTGACACAAGGGGGAAAGTTAAGATCGGTACAAAAACAGTTAAAATTTGATGGTTATCTTGTTTACTTTTGATATTATAGTCATGTGAAAGTAATAATAAACTGGGTGCTATATTTATAATGTATTTGTTGATTGTGTAAAACAAGCCACTTTCGGAAAAGTGTTTCTCTGAGATTTTCCCTTTACTTATCTGCGAAATATTTTTACTTTCAGTTATATGCACTGCCACATTCCTTTTATTAACAGTAAATTAGGATAATCGCCTTTTTATTTCGAGAAAAATTGAAATGTCATCCCATAAATCACATAAAAATCTTGTTTATTTGTTAAATTGAATAATTCATATGTTCTCTTTCATAAAACTCAAACGAGGAAGCTGTCGGAAAAACACAGCCGCGGTTTCCGCAATCCTCTTAATTAGCGTTAATAAAAACGACAATGCGTTCCAGATTTTATTAAATAATTTTCAGCTTTTGGCTGGTAATGAAAGGAGAGTTACGGGGACCTGAGTACTCATTTTACAGATCCTTCCTGTTTTCATTCCAGTTTCTCTTCCGAGCTTTGTAGCAGCTAGCTATTACATGTATTTCGCACATCGAATGGGCTATTGTGTCGCACTGGCTAAATTCCCACGAAAAACCTCTAATATTATTATGGTTTTAAGCTGCAAAAACATTTTTTTTTTTTAAATTGACAAGTACTCAAACAGATCGTAAATTTATAAATGTTTTTTTAATGTTTACGATAATTGCATAACTATACTTGCTTTAAATAAGCAAAACAATTGTATTTCATCAAAACAAGAAAGGTTCTGCTTGGGGAGGAAATACGTTTTTCAAATTATATAATTAAACGTTTCCCTATTCTACCGGTCCGCCTACCCTCGCTGCTTAGGTAGGCGAAATGATTTTGAACCTTCCACGGTATTTTGGGGTTAGTCGGTTTTATTTGCTCACAATTTGACTTAAAAAAATTAAAATTATGACATGCTTATGACCATTCATATCTTTTTCACTTTTCGGAATAAACCAAATTGATGGTCTGGGATTATGTTTTGAGAATTTAGAATCGGAATTGAATTCTTTTCAATAGGAGTTTTTCTAAAAATTTTTACCCAATGTGGGTAGTCTAAGACTTATTGATATGAAGTAGTACAATGTGTTGACTTTTTTTGACTTGGCCAACTATTCGAATATACGAGTGCTTCCAAGCTATATGGAAGTAGATTGTCCAAAGAACAGAATTAAGTAGGCATGTAATAAGTATGACGGCCTTTTTGGGAAGGTGTTGGAGAATTTTTGGGGTAATAAAATCAAAACCTGATAATAACACATGTATTAATTAAACAAACAATATTTTAGTAACAATGGGTGTTTTCTCCACTCTTGGTTTTAATTTTGTATGAAGTTGTTACCTACTTGAAGGTAGTTGTAATGTACTTCAAATTAAGAAACAAAATGGAGTGAGCAATAGTCATAATTAATTATTCTTTCCATCTAAGGTCTTGGACGAGATTAAAAAGTTAGTGTCACTAGCGGGATTCGAACCCGAAGGTCGAAGACTAGGTCGTGAGTTCGAATACTGCTCGTGACAGTAGCTTTTTCACCTCGATCAAGACCTTAGATAAAAAAGAATAACTAATTGATATAATTAACACTATAATCAATAATGACCACTAAAAGTATATGGATTAATTAGTCTTAATGATATTCTTTATTTTTTAAAATTATACTTTCATTTTCAATGCTGTCGCTATGAAAACACAAAGAAAAGTATGATTCGTTGAATTATAATAATACGATTTTGCCCGACTGTTATACTTATTGATATATATATATATATATATATATATATATATATATATAAATCGACCGATACAAGATGGTGCTATATTGAAACGCCACTTCAGCCCAAACCAGCGAGGATGGGCGGACCGCAGTGATTGGAAACGGTCAAGTTGCAGATTCTTTGTTGTTTATTTTTCTAAATAACATCATTTGGCAGTTAAAAAAACATATTTTGAAAAATTAGTATTCTCCACGGCATCTGCGGGGGGATGAATTTGGTAGTTATCGATCATTTTCCTTCGCCTACTCTCGCTTGTATGGTTGTACTCTTGCGTTTCGGCTTCTCGCCATCTTCAATGCTGGATTTAACTATGAAAAAAGAAGAAAATTTGTAAGTAAGAGTTACGAGGATAGGCAGTCCAAAATGATCCCTAAGGAAAAAAGTCTTGTAAAACAAATAAGCCTTGTAATTAGCAGATTTCAAAATTAATCAAGTTCATCATTCCCCAATCCTAAATAAAATATTTCACAAAATAATTTAGTGAAATATTTCCCAGGCTGATAAACCTTAAACAATTGAAAATAGGAAAATATATAATGTTTGACAGTTTGACTGTTGCTACAGTTGTTACATAATCACCAAGTAGACCTTATTTTGATTATTTTATTAGTTATCCTTCTTATAACTAAAGGTAGCATTTCTGTTTTATCTCATGACGTTTTTAAGTTATGAGATTAAACAGAAGTTTGTTAATATTTGTGCTACCTGTTTTGACTTAAAAATCAGCGAAGATTTCAATTAATCTTTTATTGGACCACGTTTTATGCGTCCATTCCAACATCATTCCAGACTTTCACGAATGCCTTCTTCCAGATAAGAGGCGAGGGAGATTTTACGTTTAAATTTACTTTCACCGGTTATTTTTTTACACGTGCATAATTACCTTGTTTTGTCCGTTTAATCGGCTTTGATCAAAGCTGTCGTCCGGGAAAAGAAACGCCTATTCGGGGAAAGATGAAACGTTTCAAAATTTCCGTATCATAGATGAAATTTATTCCGTCCTAGACTCAGGAAATGTCGTTTTTTCTCTTGAAACAAAACCAAACTTTTACGTTAATTAGATTCAAAAGCGTACCAGTCCTCTGACCCTGAATCCACAGTTTTCTTCCTGGCGAACGTGCCTCCGGCGGCGGCGTTGGCGGGGGGGGGTTGCAAGAGTCCTGCTGATATTTAGTAAAAGAAAGTTGTTACGTCCTTTATGTAATACGTACCCAGCCGGGGAGAACTGCGGTCAGTTGTATTTGATTTCCCGTACGCGTCGGGTTCAGCCCTCGCTCCTCTGTTACAAACCAATCGTTCCTGGCTAATTTGACACAAAATAAAAGGTAAACGATTTTAATCACCACTCTCTATACCACCTAAACATAATAAAATGAAACTACACCCAAAATTCAGCAAGACCAGACGTTCCATTGGTACATAAATTTTTAAATATTGGTCTTGTACTTATTTATATTTTATTAATTTTTTAATCTAGTAAATAAATAATTATTATAAAGTAGTAGATAAAGAATTTTTTCAACATTAGTTAAAATTTTAAATTATTTACTAGCTTTTGTCAATAAGTTATTTTCTTTTACAATAAAGTTTCTTCAATAAAATTTTACCAATGATTATTTTTTTTAATTAAATGATTTTATTACGTTACTATTTTTGATATTTGCAACATAAGTATAAATTCATAAGTTCAGCAATCATTCTCATACAATGATTTTTAAATATTTGCCTTTTATTTATTTAAATTGTATTAATTTTTTAAAAAGCAAGCACATAAACTAATATATAATCTTTTGATTATTTCCTCCTTAATAATAAAGAAGACCAGAAGTAATATGTACATTTTTTTTAAATACATGTTTTTATTGCATTTATTTTTGTTAATATTAGTAACATACGTAATGCATAATGGCACATAACATTGCATGAATACTCACTTTTTATAAATTTTTATTTATTGAAAACTTACAGTAGACAAATATTGATAAGGTTGGAAACAGCTCAGTGATAACGTCGAACATGCTAACAACATTGGTTTCCATCTTTATTAATAATAGGTTTACAATAGGAAACAGTTTATTGTATAAATATATAATAATCAAAATCACTAAAAGTAATAAGTAAACATTTGATTATACAGTTGGTAAAAAACCGGATAAAAAATATAATGATTGAATGAATAGTATATAATGGTATATTTTGATAGAGCGTTTATAAATATAATTATATATAATCAATTGGTACGTTTAAATAAATTTATAAATATAATTATCAATTTATAATTAATATCATTTAATTTTTTGAATTATTTAAAGTAAAAGGATTGCTTTTTGAAAGATCTTGTAATTTTTTTTTACTGTAGAACAAATACAACGTACAAACAGGGCACCTGAATTATTGAAAAAAAGATTTTACATGCTGAAGAACGGCATGTTGCATCGAAATGTATATATTTGTGAAAAGAAGTTGGTAGTATTTGTTTTACTTTAAAAAAAAAGAGAAAATGTAATTTGATATGAATTAAATATAACATTGTTTAAATATTTAATATAGATTATTTACAAATCTCAGCCTAAGCAATTTTTGTTTTAAATTTTACAAATAAAAATGTATTCTTATTGTTTAAAGAATTAAAAATTAAAAATAACTGTATACCTTTTGAACATTTTGGATTTTTGTTGTTTAAAAGTATCGGATTTGAAAGTTAGGTAGCCATTATACAGATGAATTTAAATATTTAAACTTTTCGCCAAAATAAATCATACAATACGAAATCTGTTCCGTTATTTTTTCTTTCTATTAAACTATTTTTAGATACTTTGTATTGTGAAAAGTGATTTACCTTACTAAAAATTGAACTCGTACATTTTTTTGGATGATTTAAATTGGAAAAATTATTACTAATTATTAATTCTAGGGCTAGTTTGAAATATTGAAAACTTATGGTTTTAATTGTAAATTTTTAGTGTGGTTGACCCCCATTATACCAGAAAAAAAATCGACGAAACTTTGTTAATTCCTTAAATTTCATAAATTCATGAATTTCATAAATTAATGCTTTAATTTAAAAAAATGAAAATGACGCCAGTTATTTTTTAATACTTTATTCACCCAGATGGTTTAGTGTACTTTTTCCATTTTTCTGGACTTAATATATTTGCAAAAAGAACGAAAGTCTACGACCTGGCCTAGTTAAAGACGATTTCATAACTTTTTCTCTCTCGTGTTTCAGGGTTGACGGCTTTGGAGGTGCATCTTGGCATGAGATCAAGCTGAAAAGGTAATTTTGATTAGAAATAATTCAATCGGTGATAAAATAAGTAGAAATCTTTGAAATGAAATTTTATTAATTTTCAATCAGTAAAAAGGCAAAATTTTATACAAGCTTGTTGCAAGTTGTGTGCATTGCGACCTGTTAGTATTTCTTTCCATATTTCGATCTTGAAACGATATTTTTAACTACAAAACCAGCGTTGGGAGTAGAATAATATGAAATTTTTCAAATAATCTTAATTATTTAAAGTTTTATTTTGGAAAATTGATTATATTGTCAAAAAATATCACTATTTTCCCAGAGTTTGTTCGTATACTACTATTTTAATATATGTATCTGATTACTATATACCTCACAGTATTAGTTAATTGGAATACAATTTCATTTTTTTAAAGTCATAGTTTCGGGAATCCAAACGAGCTAATCATGATTTTTGTTTTTGCACCTAATTCGACATAACTCTATATAATTCATGAGTGACCGTTCCCGAACAATGATCAGGGAGCGCACGCTTTCGCCCATTGTCTGTCAGAATCCTTTAAGCACTACTACTACTCTTAATTAGTGATGATATTCACTGATATATTTGAACACAATTTGAGCTTAAGATTTTTTGTCAAATCCCAATTGATCTTTGAGAAATATGATTTTAACGCTAGCAATTGCTTGTAATCAGATCTCATTACTAATTAATAATAATTAATTTTTATTTATATATATTTTTGTTTTTTCTCTTGACAGAAAGCATTTGACTGTTGTTTTTTCTCCTTTCTTGAAAAGTAATATTATATCGGTGAGCGTCCAGGCTTCAGGCACAAATTTTGATTTTCCTTTAGTTTCGGAAAATATATTTTTATGATTTTGTTGGATGTTTGTTCACTTTCGCACGGATTCTTATGTTTGAAAGCTTAATTTCTTTGTCTAGTTTCTTTCGCGTTGTTTTGCTTAGTAAGCGTCATTTTGTGTCCTTTATTTTTCGTTGATTTGGGTCTTGGTTTAATTCATTGTTGCAATTTTTATCGGTCTGTGGTCTATTACTAATCTAATAAAAATTAATAATTATTATAGCAAAAAACGGATCTACAGTGGCCTCTTTAACGGTTCGATGACGTGTTTTTGGTTTCTTCACAGCACACGGATTAAACCGTTTCGTAACTTTTGAACGAAGGATGTCCCGAACGAGATAAAATCCGTTCAACATTACGAGGAAGCGCTTTCCTCACCGGTGCACCCAGCACAATCGTTTTGATCCATTTTGATCCACAACATAGAAATGTAAGGATGACTAATTATGATCGAATTTTGATATCCGTCTGGTCCAAGATTCTCTCGGGAGGGGGTATTCTACTTTTATTATAGTTACATATTAGTCATATGAAAAGATTTGTAAGGATCTAGAGCTCTGCTATTAGAAATACTATCAATTTTCATTTTGCGTTTCGTTTTGGTATTAATTAATTTTTAAGTAAGGTATTGATTGAGATAAAAAAGTCAGTGCCTAGCGGGATTCGAACCCACGACCTTCGGCTAAATACGCCGCTGCTCTACCACTTGAGCTATTGTGACTTGGATCTACTCGGACTTCCACCTCAACCCCACCTGGTGAATTTTCCCTCCTTTTTGCCATTTATCAAATGTCGTGTAATCTATTTGATTCTCGGCGACAAATGAAATTGCCACGGAGAGCTTTAGTATACTTCATTTTGTGTATTAAATCCATTAGGTTTCGTGGTCCAATTGACCAAATAAATGGCAAAAAGGAGGGAAAATTCAAAAGGTGATGTTGAGGTGGGAAGTTGGAGTCCGAGTGGATCAAAGTCACGATAACTCAAGTGGTAGAGCAGCGGCGTATTTAGTCGAAGGTCGTGGGTTCGAATCCCGCTCGTGACAACGACTTTTTTATCTCGACCAATACCTTACTTAAAGATTAATTAATTGAAAAGAATTTATTTGGTCAATCGGACCATGAAACCTAATGGAATTAATTACTACATGGTGAAGAGAAATTGTGCCTAGTTTTTCTTAATAAATTTCCGTATTTATTTTATAATACGAACTAATAAAAATGTTTATTATAATTTCATATCGATAACGTATGTGTTTTTATAAACGCAACGATAGACGTTGAAAGGTGTAAATGAAAATTTAATTTTATCCTCTGAAGCCTTTGAATGAAAGAGTCAGTTTTTCTTCATAGGTCTTTCTACTATCATTCATTTGATTAGACTTTCTCACCTAGAAATTCATAAAAAAATCTTATCTTTGCTTAAAATCATTTTTTTAGAGGGTGGGGGTTGTCCGGTACAACAGCTTTCAGTCTTCAAAGTGACATGAGACGGAATGCAGTTACAGCAAACGTTTCTGCACTGTATGAGCTTCTATTAATTATTGTAAAAAAAATAATTATTATTAAATAAAACAGTAAACAAAGTTGATGTTATATCATATAAAATCTGTAGTTCGTTGAACGCGTTTTGGTCTTTCGTCATAATCAGAGCTGTAAACGATTTGCAACGATTGAGTTAAGCCGCGTTGACTAAGTTGTTAATTTTTTTTGTTTGCTATCAATACCACTGATGGTTTTTATTGCATGTAATACGTTAACATAATCACTTAAAATGTATTATACAAGAAGAATTAAAAAAAAAAGTTTTGCTAAAGGTCATTTCACGCGAGGATAGTTGTATTAACATATATTGCCATTCAAATGAGGCAATTTTTATAATAGCAATTTTTTTATACCACAATTTCATTAATAATTTCCCCAATTTAAAGCTATATAGTGCAAGTCAATACTTTATGGTAATGGCGCGGGTAATTGGTTAAAAAAACTGCTTCTATCTTGTGTAAAGTTTTCGCAACCCTAAGTCTGTCAAGGCTAGGCCGGGCTACAAAAACAAATTAACGTTTAAGCTCGATCCTCTCGGTTAAGTTTCTCCCAATCCACGTTATCCGTCGTTTTCATCTCAAATCAATATCTATCAATCTACTATAGTTATTACGGTTCAAAAACCACAACATTGTATTAATATCCGGATTGTATAATCAAATTTTGCCATTTTGGCCTCACTTCCGGAGGGACAAAAGTGAAAACGGTCCCCGTGTTCGGATGTGTTTTCGATGGAACTTTCTTCTCAAATCCCCACGGCAAGGTTGTCCCTAGGACACGTTCTTTACGTCAACGACCTTCGTCAACTCTTATCTCGACTCTTTCCAGGTGTTATTTTTTTCGCCTGAGACTCCTCCTCCAATGAACCTTTCACTGGTCGATTCCCTGGGCTTGAGGGACGCGGAACCGATCCAACTTAAAGATAACTTATTAGAAATAATTGAGGTAGAGTGAGGATATCTATCAATTTTTGTAAGGGATGGTTCTACTCATAGAATCCGGAATTCTGTGAGTAAAATCATCCTTTACAAGAAGTAAAAAAAGTAATGCTAACTTTGTACTATGGAAACATATAAATCAGAAAAAGAGGTTATTACGTGTAACAGAATAAAGTTCATAATGGAAGTTCACAAAAATCATTTTACTTCTGTGCATCAAAAGTAAAATTAAATATACTCCTTCTTTCAGTTGCCTAAAACATTATGTTCATCTTTTAAAACAAAATAAAATATGTAAAATATATTTTTTCTTGAGGCGTGTGAAGGGATGAACCTGAAGGTTCGTCGTTTCAAATCATCCTGGCTGTCTAAGTCAGAAGTGTGGTGCCCAACCCTGCTTATATTCCTGATGCCCCTAACGTTATAGTTTGCTACTGCTGAAAACAGTTATTGGAACGATACTTGTTTGTTTGCTTCTTGCACTACTGAATCGTGATTAGAGCACATTCAGTGGTTGGTCTGGGCGTTAATTCATCATTCGGGTACCACCCAATTGACACATTTATGAGTTTAATCCTTTTTAAAAAGATAGTTCCTACTCACAGTAAGTTGTTTTGCAACGATCCGGATTTCGAGCCTTTTAGCTCATCATCAGGTTGTACAAGTCCTTCAACCTGATGATGAGCTAAAAGGCTCGAAAGCCGGATCGTTGCAAAACAACTTACTGTGAGTAGGAACTATCTTTTTAAAAAGGATTGAATACCACACTCACTCCATCATTTATCATTTCTTTTTATTAGTTTATATTATACTTACTTTATTATAGACGGGATCAGACTGACTAATTTTAAGTTTTCACACTCAAAACTTAGTGACATTTCTTGACTCCTCATAGTTTGGTTTGGTGGTCTTAAAATCTTCAATTAAGTTAAATATAAACATCTCTTATTCTGAAACACATTTAATAATTTCGCTACATTTATTTTTTATGTGTATTTATATGATAGATTTTTTAAAATTTTTTACAGGTATTTTTTGGAAAAAAAGCCCGTTTGTAAATAGGTTGGGTTGGAATGAAGAGCCGCTGCGATTCGAACCCAGGACCCTAATAACAGTGATCGCCGAGCTTTAACTTTTGCGACTGCCGACAATTTTCTCTAAAGTACACCATTTTTTCAGAAACTCAGCCAGCCCCTGTAAACTATTTATTTCTTTATCCGGAAATCGATTAAAGCCTCTACTTTTGTTCTTACTATTGTATTTGCGCAACTTTTGCGGCTTTTACCGTGCTTGTGTCGTTGAAATTTGAAAAACGCTTAACATCGCAATTCTACTTTCACCGATACCGACACCGGACCAAGTTAGTGAGCCGTTGCATAACGCCACGTTCTTTGTGGACACCTGATTCCGCACTTAGCTTAATGGACCCACTATTGAAACGGTTATTTTAAGCCACCCAGTCAACTTCCAGTCTTAAAATTGAACAATTTATTGACCCTCAGCCTCTTCTGCCAGACAATAACGAACGGCTCGGACCTTTTCTACTTCTTCAAATGATTACAATGCACCTTTCACAAAATACACGGTACGCAACCTATATTTAATTTTTTTTTGTAATTTCTGAGTCCTAGCTTTTTTTTAACCGACGGAACTACCTATTATTACACGTAGGTAATAGC